GAGATCATAATAATCCTATGATGATGTCTTGCCAGAATATATTGAGCTAGTATAATGTATAATGTATCGCGATGAATCAACGACCAACAAATAGAGTAACGCTTAATCGATATCAAACACTCCCGTGCAATCGCGTGACTGTTACGCACCGCAAGCGACTAATCACCGAGGAGATGCACTTCACTCTCTAGTCAATCAGATATAAACACGAAACGGAGCTGTGTCACGCTAACAATATTCTTCAAAATAATCTTCCGCGTCAGTTGGATTCCTTGTACCTTTAATTTACAAGATGGATTCGCCAACACCAAACCTCGGCCTTCCAAAGCGAGAGGAAATAACCTGTCCACAGTGTAATAACATATACACCAATCCCAAACAATTGCCCTGCTTGCATGTTCTCTGCCTTGAATGCCTCAACAACTTGGCAACGACGAGCGCACAAGACAAGATCAAATGCCCGATCTGCCAGATCGAAGTACATGTTTCAGACTCAGGCTCGATGGAAAATCTGCCAAATTGCCTCCATGTAAATAATTTGCTCGATATTTTGGCCATCAAAGAGCACCACGCTTCGAGTGTGACTTGTGTAAACTGTGATCAGACATTCGAAGAAGCATCTTATTGTTTTCATTGTGACAGGTTCTGGTGTCAAGCTTGTTTGAATGCACACAACGTTTTGAAGGAGAACAAACTGCATCGTGTTTTGGCTCTCAAAGAGATTGGAGACTTTGAAGATGTCCTCAAAGGTTCAGTCACCCCTGTGGCCGGCCCATCGTCTGAGCAAAAAGATCACAGTAGTGAAGACATGACTGCCATAATAAATGACATTTCCCGTAGGCTTGATGCTGCAAGAGAACCATCAAGAAAAATCACCAGTTGCATTCACGTTCTGGAGGAGAACACCCGTCTAGTGGATTACCGTTCCAGGACCAACAAGGAACGCATACAACGAACAGTCAATTCTCTTATCTTGACACTTCAACAGAAAGAGCAAGAATTGGTGGCTGAAGTGGAAAACCAGACCATTAAAGCGAAAGAACCACTCGAAAAATCCAAAGGCGAATTACAAGAGAAATTAAAACAGCGGGAGCAATTTATTTCGCAGATTGAAGCTCTTATCCAACGCAGCAAGACTGCTGGATTACTACCGAGTACCAAACTAATAATAGATGAGCTATTTGAAGGACTCCAAGAGCTAGAAGACCCGGACATGTTATCCACCACTGAATGGAAAACTGTTACTACGTTTGCTAAAAACAACGAAATCTTTCAATCCCTTCAAAGTCTCGGAATCGGCCACCTTACTACCACAAAAACTGCAACAGAGGCAAACCAGTGCTCGGTAAAATGGTTTCAGACTGCTACAGTCGGGCTGGAGGCAGAAATTGAAGTGATCACCAGGAATTCCGAGGGAAAACAGTGCTACTGCCCGGGGGATTATATGACTCTGCAGCTTATCTCAGCAGAGGATCGCAACACTGTTGTTGAAACGAAAATCACCGACTATAATAATGGCAGTTACAAGATTTCTTTCATCCCAAGGGAGGGTGGACATCATTTACCAACCATTCAAGTAAATGGAGAAACCGTTGGTGGTTTTCCACCCCTTCTTATCAACCAACGGTCGTACTTGTCTGTCAGAGCCATTATGGACGGAGTTATAGAGACCCAGACTCTTCAGCACAATGTTTTTCACCGCGTGGCCCAGGCTTCGAGACCAGCTCGCTCGAGAGAGATGGAGGAGAAGACTTTAAAGCGTCCTTGGGGAGTGACTGTTAATGACAAAAATGAAATATTTGTAACTGACTTACGCAACAATCGAATCGTAGTTTTCAATGAAGTAGGAACGTTCATCAGGTCCTTTGGACACAAACTGGTAAAACATCCATCTGGAATATGTATAAATAGTAAAGGTATGATTTTCGTAGTAAACAGAGGTAACGACAAAATTTTACTTTTTAATTCCAAGGGTGAATATGTTACAACAGTTCACAATGGTGACTTGCTGAAGCAGCCACGGGGAATATCGCTAGATCCGCAGGGGAATATTTTTGTCTGCGACACGGGAAATAAATGTGTTCGCTTTCTTTCTCCCAATGGAAGCATTTTAAAGACAATCGGAAAGGGTGGGTTACAGTTCCCATTTGACTGTTTGTCGTACAATGGGAAAGTTTATGTCTCGGATCGTGATTCCCTGCTTATTAAGGTATTCAGTGCAAACAATGGGAGCATTTTGCATGAGTTTGGTGTTCAATCATTAGGGGAACCATTAGGACTAGCAGTGGATAAAACAGGCCACCTTTTGGTGTCTGGAATTCTGTCAAATTACCACAGGGTTTTTGTTTTTACTATGGATGGCAGGCTTGTCACTAAATTTGGGGGATCATTTGGTGGGGAGTTGGGACAATTGAACACACCTACTTCTGTTTCGGTTTTAACAAATGGTCGTATTGTTGTTTGCGACTGTCTAAATTTCCGTCTTCAAGTTTTTGCTTAGTTCAATGCTGTTGAGTGCAAATCTGACTCTTGCCTAGTCAAGATTTCTGAACAGTTTTTACGGAACATTTTGTATAATATTTTTGGATGAAATTCTCAACGTGACATTGCTTCGGTATACAGTCAAATCTCTCCAGGACGGACACTGTCTTTGGAACAGGCACTAAGAGTCAAATAGTCAAATAAAGGGAGTAAAGTAAGGCAGTGACCAACTCTAGGTGTCTATTTTACCAATGTGTCCGTCTTATGGAGGTGTTCGTTTTAGAGAGAGTCGACTGTACATCAAACATATTGAATCTTGATCAAAATTATCTAGTGCGCAACACAATCACATATTTTTCTGCGCATGTTCTGGTACTGTGCGGACGTGTGTTATTGAGCTCCGCACTAATAGTGAAATTTTGAGTGAAATTCTGATAATGACTCGAAAGTCAAATTCAAATCCCAGTGCCAAATCCCTTCAAGAAGAAAACGAAGCTTTAAAGAAAGAAATAGAAAGTCTGAAGAGTGAATTTAAACGTATTCCAGCAGAAACTCATAAGGGGTTGAACAACCCCTTATGGGTTTCTGATTCCAGTTAATCTAAGCTATGTAAAAAAGTAACCTTTTTTCTGTTCCATACCTTTTGTACAACTTAATATATTTATATAAGGTTAAATAACTTGTGTGGACCTGTTAATTTAATATAATACCATTAGTGCGCATTTTGTTTTAAAGAGACACTACCCACCTAGACTAGCCTTTGCTGTTTGTGGGCTATTTGAAGAGTAGGAATACGTGTAGTTAACTCTTGTTTACGTTTCTTCAGACGTTATTTATTTGTCAAGTTGCGCTTTCTAACATTGGAATCCCTGGCTGGGAGTGCTTCTAAAATCCTGTTAACTCGCACGGTACTGGCGTGCTGAATGGAAGTGTTGTAGACCGCTCTTAAGTGAGTTTCTATCTTAAGTATATTTGCACGCAAAAGCCGCCTCAAATGGCTTTGCTAGCCGTCAACAGTGCTTATTTGTATAAAAAAATTGTAATTACCAATATATATTGTTGTCGTTGTTGTTGTTTCGTTGTCGTTACCTGCGCTCCGCGGGGATTTTCTGTCGTACCATTTGCCCCACTTCTTATAAGCACCTGCAACACAGGCTATTAAAATTCTGGCCCCAGTTGTTCAAACGTTGGATAGCGCTATCCAGCGGATTAGTATTAGGGAAAGTAATTGTACTATCCACTGGATAGAGATTTATCGGGTGGGTAGTGCTATCCAGCCTTTGAACAACCGAGGCCTGGTTAAGGATTGGTAACAATTTTTCAGTCAATTCTAATTCAATCCGGAATAAGATCAATAGAGTGCACTTTAAGTGTTCAAACCTTACCTCTGAGACTCACCGGTCTCGGTGGGTTGTTAATAATATATATTATGAACGTTACTTAAATTTTACAAGAACTGAGAAGAACATTACGTGGTTATACGGATAGCATAACCAAGTGTGAGTCTTCTGACAGTCTGAGTATGTATGAACGATTTTAAAGGATGGATTTGTATACTGGAAAGCAGTACGATGCTCGTATCCACCAAACGTTTCCATGAGGGCTCTTTGATTTTTTTCTTAATTCAAAACATCATATCTCCTCACCTTCAAACGTCATTGTTATAGCAGCAAGCCTTTTCCGAGCAGTTGACGGTACCTGCGAGGTGTAACTGCGAAGTCTTTGATGTAAATCGGAACGATTAACTCAAATTCTTAGTTGTCAATGATTTAGATGAAATTCAGTTACATTTTAAAGGTGCCTGACCTTATTTTCAAAGTGAGGTTTTTGGAAACTCAAGCGGGAATGACTTATTTGAATAGCCTGAGAAAACAACCGACATTTCATGCCACGCCAAAACTGGTTTCCGCGCGAAATGACGTCTGAGGAACGAGGGCAGAAATTCAGTCTGGTGATGTGATACTACCCAGACCTTGGTGGTGCTTCTGATTGGTTTATGCAAATCTCCTTCGCTGCACGACCAATCAGAAGCACTACCCAGATTTTTGTATTGACACGTCATCAGTATGGAATATCTGCGCTCTTTCCTCAGACGTCATTTCGCCGGGAAACCAGTAGTGGCGTCGTGAAAAGTTCGTCCGTTTTTTAGGCTACTATTTGACTAGCTAGTTCGCTATGTTCTTTCCAAATCTGCGGCCATTCTTTTCGTTAAAGTTCGAATTCTAAGGGCAAATTGGTTACTTTTGGAAACTTTCTATTTCCTCCAAGCATTATAGGAAATATTAATGTTAACATTTAAAAGAATGGAGAGGAAATATGGCAGACAAAAGCGCTCGATTATGACCGCTGCATAAAGATTCGACGAGCTCCGTGAAATGGCGAAAAAATCGCCATGAAATTGCTTCTAGTTTTTACAGGCGATTTGAAAGAGCGCCTAAAATCTTAAAATCTCAGCTCCTGTCGCGTGACAACTAAAAATCACTTGACGCGTAAACAAGTGCCTTAAAAGAGTCTAGGTTGTCGCATAAGATAAATTTAACTTCCAATCGGAAAAAATTTTTTAAGCTTGATAGTCGTCTTTTGACAAAACTTCCTTAGAGTTACTCCCGTATATATAAAGCTGTATAGGCAAATCCTTGTTTACATAGTTTTTTGCCTTATTAACATACGCTTATCATCATCTCAGTAATTACGCTAATGAAATAAAATCTCTGAATAATTATTAAAAGCACATAAAAAATTTGAGTTATCTCTGAAAATTTGAGCCCGATATACTGAATAGTTTCGAAGATTCTCTTTGGAAAACCCCAAACTTCACGGCAAACGCTTCTGCCACACCCAGCAATTTCGCATTTTTTGATTGCTGCTATTTCTTTTGTTATTGATCGTAAAGAGCTGAAAGTTGCGCAAACTGCTCAAATTTACCAGCTCTTTCAAACCAAACTTGTAGTATACGGCGTCGTCTTTGATGGGTTAACTCATATGCTAATGAGCAAAAATGTTAATGACTTCAGCAAGGTTTCGCCAAAAGACCAAAGGATGTGGGGCTTTTTTGCCGCGCCAAAGGGTTTCGTTTTCCATCTCTTTGGTCTAATGTCCCACTCGCAACAAAGCTCTAACAAGTTTGAAAGCTCTTAATAAGTTTAACACGGCTAAAATTTGTTTCCATTCAAAGAAGCTGCCCTATGAGTTTTGTCAACTAAGAATTTTGACAAATAAAATCATAAGTCAAAGCTATTCCCTTTCTTGTATTAATTTGTATTAATTTTTACTTCTGTAAGCCCAAAGGTCATTTCATCAGTAGGTGGAATATGATCGTCTGGGTGAGGGTAGTCCTGAATAGGACTGTTGATGTTGACAGTGACTGATGTTCTGACAACTTGTGGGGTAGTCATCGTCAGAGTCAAAGTGACATCACTTCAGTGATACAAAGTTGAGATTCACGTCAGTGGTACAACTCACTTTGTTCGGTCAAGATGGCTGGATGTTAGCCACTGAAGTTCTTTTTGTCCCGCCATCCCAGTTCACTGAACAGGAAGGACTTGTTATTTTTAATAGGATTTTTATTTATTTCATGTCTCGCTAAAAAAAGTTTTAAGTCATAAGTTTCCTTAAGGAGAGACTTGACCACTCGCTAATGCCCCTGTAATAAATTGTTCTTTTACACCAATCAGTTTTCGGGTTAGGGAATTTCGGCAAATAGCTGTTCCTTGTGTTATTTCCATGCATGATCTCTTAAAGTTATTTTATGTCACAAGGTGCTCTCAGTGGCATTTTCCCATCTACAGCAGCATTTCTGGCAGTTTAAGTTTCAAAAAGCAAAATGTATTGCGTAGAGTCACTGGGTAAGAAAAACACTTACGATATCAAACACTTCCGTGTAATCGCGTGACTGTTACGCACTGAAAGCGACCAATCAAAGAGGACACACACTTCAGCGGCCAGTCGCAACGGAGCTGTGTCATCCTACTAGAAAATTAGTAACAATATTCTTCAATATAATCTGCCGCATCATTTGGATTCCTTGTACCGTTTTTTTACAAGATGGATACGCCAAACCTCGGCCTTCCAAAGCGAGAAGAAATAACCTGTCCACAGTGTAATAACATATACACCAATCCCAAACAATTGCCCTGCTTGCATGTCCTCTGCCTTGAATGTCTCAACGACTTGGCAACGACGAGCGCACAAAATGACAAGTTCAAATGCCCAATCTGCCAGATCGAAGTACATGTTCCAGAGTCACGCTCGATGGAAAATCTGCCAAATTGCCTCCATGTAAATAATTTGCTCGATATTTTGGCCATCAAGGAGCACCATGCTTCGAGTGTGACTTGTGTAAACTGTGATCAGACAGTCGAAGAAGCATCTTATTGTTTTCATTGTGACAGGTTCTGGTGTCAAGCTTGCTTGAATGCACACAACGTTTTGAAGGAGAACAAACTGCATCGTGTTTTGGCTCTCAAAGAGATTGGAGACTTTGAAGATGTCCTCAAAGGTTCAGTCACCCCTGTGGCCGGCCCATCGTCTGAGCAAAAAGATCACAGTAGCGAAGACATGACTGCCATAATAAATGACATTTCCTGTAGGCTTGATGCTGCAAGAGAACCATCAAGAAAAATCACCAGTTGCATTCACGTTCTGGAGGAGAACACCCGTCTAGTGGATTACCGTTCTAGGACCAACAAGGAACACATACAACGAACAGTCAGTTCTCTTATCTTGACAGTTCAACAGAAAGAGCAAGAACTGGTGGCTGAAGTAGAAAACCAGACCATGAAAGCGAAAGAACAACTCGAAAAATCCAAAGGTGAATTACAGGAGCAATTAAAAAAGAGGGAGCAATTTGTCTCACAGATTGAGGCTCTTATCCAACGCAGCACGATTGCTGGATTTCTACCGAGTACAAAACTAATCATAGATGAGCTATTTGAAGGACTCCAAGAGCTAGAAGACCCGGATATGTTATCCACCACTGAATGGAAAAGTCTCGCTATGTTTGCTAAAAACAAAGAAATC